CAACCTAATCCTGACCCCAGGTACCGGCTGAGCCCCGGCCGGGGGCGTCACGCGGCGTCCTGAGCTCGCCACAGACGGAACCCAGCCAGGTCACAGACGAGGTCCCTGAGGAGAGCCCTAAAAAAGCGTTCCCTTCGACGGTCACTCCGCAACACCATCGGATCGTGACCTCGGGCCACTCTGAAGGCCCTGACTGCCCTGTCCCGGGCACACCGACTCGTTCACAGACGCCCCCCGCCCCATTTTGCTCGGAGGGATACCTCGCTGCGCCGCCTTTACCTCAGCAGCGGGACCGGTCGCGCGCACCCACCAGCAGGTCGTTCCGAGAACGCGGAAGAGGCGGTACTAGACCCGAGGGGCGGGCCCGACCGGAGAGGGGCGGAGTTGCGCATGCGCCCTGATGGCTACGCCCCGAGCAAGAGTGGGGGCGAGTTAAGTAAACTGGGAAGACGCGCTAGAGAGGGGCGGGAAGATTGCTGGGGCGGGGGGTGGAGCTTAGCTTCGCTCCATTCCGAGTGAAGGTCGGGAAGTTGGGGAAGGGCCAGGAGGGAGGCGGCCAAGCAGCGGCAGGTGTAATTACCATTTACCGAGTGCTTCCGAGAGCTTCCGTGTGCCAGGATGGAATTTTTAAAGTGACTTTTGCATATGGGGAAATGCTGCCAGTCTTTTCTAAAACGAGGGCTAATTCCGTAAAATTTCTTCAGACGTGTACCTATCATTTTACTCAAACAGTTTTCCTTGAGCAAAGCGTTACCCCCAGTAGTTCAAAATTAAACATTTAAAAGTTCATTTCTTGGAGAAAACCAACTGCGTTTAAAATAATATTTTAACCAGCCCCCTGCCGCTGCTTGGCCGCCTCCTTCCTGGCGGCCGAAGCCTGCAAGTGTAATAAGGGAATGAGAGTGCTGACTTGGGTTTCAGGTCCTGACTTTTGAGTGTGTTTCCTCCTTGGTGAAATGGAAGTAAAATATCCCTTCCCTGTCTGTCTCAGGATTGTTGTGTGGGTCTGATGAGCACTGCTAGTTAAGAGCCTCTTAGACTTCCATCCCACCATCCTGATGAATGTTTGTTCTTTTCCCCTTCTGGGCTCAGTCTTCTCATCTGTATAATGGAAGGAGGTCTGGAACCTGAGAGAACATTCAGGGATTTGCTACATTTCTCAGTCTGGGTGAAGGCTGGAAAGGGGGCCTTCTCCCAAGTTTCTGTATTGAGTCACTTACAGAATCCCTCAGTCCAACCCGAAAGCCCCTGTATATCCTGACCTCTCCCACCCATCACATTCTAGGCCCACTCAAACTTCATGTCTTCAGCGGCCATGCTGGCCTGTTCCTCTCTCTGTTCCCTGAATATCTAAATAGCCAGCTGGTCCTGAGTCTCTCAGGCCTGTTTCAATCCAGGTTCTCAAAATTGTTATGTCTCTACGTACATGGTTCAGTTAATACTAGATGAAGGCTCTGGAGGATTCAGAGAAGGAAGGGCTCCAGGAGGGCTCCCCCAAATCAGCTGGACCTCCAGCTATACTGTGGCTCCCTTCACCATGCACTACATACAGCTTCTGGGGGTGGGAGAGTGGGAATGGCAGCAGGAAACCTCAAAGAAGCTACAATGTTCACCAGGGCCAAGGGTGGTGGCGTATTCAAAGGTAGATGCTCTGCCCCAAAATGGGGAGAGTGCCTTGCTTCCACCTCATTCTCTGCTCTAAATATTTTTATGGATCTTGAACAAACAGGAAAACAAAGCCTTCTGCAGTGGCTGCCCAACCAAACTGTCCCTCTACCCCCAACACATTGCCTCTCACAGGACCCTCTCCTGCCAAGTTTTGCCCTATGGGGTGGGGGAAATGCTGCTTGCTTTCCTCTGGCTTGCCGAAGCCCTAGCTCTCTCTTCTATATCCTCCTTTTTCTTTACCTCTGCTCAGTCTTCTCTGAGAATCCCTCTCCGAATTTTTTTTTCCTCTCTGAATTTCTCAAAGCAGTTTTGCGATGTCTTCCTGATGTAATTAGACATTCTCATGTTAAGGCCACACAGTTCTGAGACAAATTTACCTTCTCTGCCGTGTATTCCAAAACAACTATGAGCACAGAGCCTGAACTTTGAGTCTGAGCTGTCCAGTCATTGAGGAGGTAGTGGGTGAGCTGTCATAGGAGGTATGCAAGCAGGGCCACCTTTTAGGATGCTCGGCTGGGCCTCCTCTGGTGAGCCTGAAGAAGGAACAGCAGAGTGGAAGGCCTTCCAGATATTAAAGCAGTGAAAGCAGGAATACTGGGCACGAGGAAGGGAGCCAGGCAGCTAGCCAAAGACAAACCTGATGTGGTAAGCTATTACATGTCAAGCATTTAGAACTGCGCCTGACACTCAGTCAAGTATTAGCTAGTACTGTTATGATTGTGAATGATCCACAGACTGTGAGTAATGAAGGAGCTCAGAGATAAGTCAGTCCCTCGCTCCCACACTGGGGGTCATGAAATGGACTGGGAAATCGAGGTCTAGAGGGAAAAAAGGCCCATCATTGTACCTTAGGGGCTGGGCTGGGACTAGACCTCAGGACTGTACCTCCCAGGAGAGCCACTGCACAAAGCCAGCCTGTCTCCTTCTCAGGGAGAGGAAAGAGCTCTAGGTGGCTCTTTGCTGACTCTTGTCTGGGCAGCTGGTGGGTAAGGGCCAGTGGAATGATAGCAAGACCTGCGCTAAGGGGCTCAGATGTATCCTGAAGGAATAAGCTCAGAAGTCAGCCCCATGCCTCGCCACCCCCACTTTGAGCTTTAGCCAGCACCTAACAAACAGCCGTTTCTTGAGAAAGGCTTCCTTTGCTGTCATTAGGGTTAGGACTATAGTTCTGCTTTGTCCCTTAACCCATTTGCTCCAATAAACCACACAGACTAAGGAGGTGGGATGAGAATAGCCATGCCAGGGAACCTGAGCTGAAACAAGGAAACACTCCCAAGAGACTGAATTTCCCAAAGGCAAGGGCCAGCCCTCCCTACTCCTGGACTAGGCCAGAAATTCTGGGTCCAGAATTCCTAGAGCCCTGGGAAAACCTTGGTGTCTCCACCCTGGAGAGCTAGTCCAGACATGACCACACCAGCCAGCCCTCCACATGGCCTGGGATCTCAGGGCAAAAAGCCCTCCCTTCTCCATTCTGGCCCAGTTCCCCCCACAGCCTGCCCAGGAGCCATGTGGCACCCAGACCACAGTTTCCCACCAGTGCCGCTTTAGTTTGCCTCCTTTATTTTACCAAAAATAACAATAATAAACTCTTCCCTCTGTTTCACAAAAATAGATTTCCTGTCTCCCCACCCCCTCCACAGCCAGCACTGGCCACAGCCTAGAACCCATCTTCCAATCCACAGTCCTCCCTGAGGGAATCTCTGATCCCCCTGGACCTCACCCCACCCCAGAGCCTCTGGCAAAGCTGCTGGGTCAGTGTTTCCCTCGGGAACTTCTCCAGAGGCAATGGTCTGGGGTCCAGATGGGGGCCCCAGGAGCCCCATTTGCTTTCTCAGAGATCAGGCAGCTGCTGGGCCACGGAGAGGGGCATAATTTTGGAGGCTTGGCTCAGCATACAGCCCCAGCAGACCTGCGGGGCAGTGGGCACTCTGGCATTCACTAGAAATCCTTGCTTAAAGCAGGAACAATTGTGCTCTAGAGAGGGGCTGTCAAACCCTCTTTCCACATGCAACTCATCTCCCTATGTAGCAATCCACAGGCCCTGGGGTGGGAGTCAGGACCCCTGGTTGCTAGTCTTGCTCCACAAAAGCCTCTCTGTGAGGCCTTGGACAGTTTCTCTCTCCTTTCTTCCTGGCTTCAGCTTCCTCCTACGTACGTAGCTGATTCTGGGAGACTGGATGATCCTCAGGCCCTTTCTGGCTCTCCATCCTGGCCTCCCAGTGTAGAGGCTCTGGGAGGGAGGGCCCTGTCCCTGCCTCAGTTTCCCCACCGGTGGGTCTGGGCACAGGGCTAGGCATGGCGGTACTGAGTAATGGAGTGTCGAATGAACATCCCAGGTTCTCTGTGGACAGCTATCCAACCAGCTGGAATGTCTCGCGGATGGCTGGGCAGGAGGCAGGTCCTTACAGGATGGGGGCTTTCCAAGCCTGGAAGAGTCCATTCACTAGCGATACGTCTTTGCTGGCCGGGGATGGGAGACGAGTCTCCGGGGTTACCGAATTCAAGTTCCACTAGCTCCTTGGGTTGGAGGATTATCTTGCACTGGGCTTCAGATCCTGAGAGCCAAGTCTATAGATTCTGGGAGCTAGATTGGAGTGTATGATTCCCAATTTAAGGACCAGAGGACCTTTGTGGACATGAGGGATCGCTCCCAGCCCTCAGGAGGCTGTCTATAATCAGGCTTTCCTAGAGGCAGAGGGATGAGTGAAATGACAGTTCCTGGGCATCTCTGGCTGAGCAGATCAGAACCTGTGTCTGTGGTGGGCCAAGGGTTTAGGTACTCAGGGCAAGAGTCCCTTCTTAAGTCCCTACGGCTCCCCAGAACTCATGCTTATGGAAGCTGGTAGCCTGAAGGTTCAAATAAAGAACTACATATACAGTCATATTTTGTGCACTTACACACACGGTTAGACCACTGACCTGTCATCACTCCCCCAGGGGTCATGGTCTGGTGGTCCCAATCCCTCCTTCCTTCCTTCCTTCCGTTCATTCATTTACCTAGCATTTATGGAGGGCCTTCTATGTGCCAAGGAGGGTCTAAGGCAGCTAGCTCTTACAGACACACCCCACAGTGTAAATCACACACTCACACACACTCACGCAGTCATCTGTGCTGTTCCACACACAGCTTGCTTACACTCTTGTACCTTTCTCGCTATCACTCAGCCACATCCACATTCCCCACGCGGGCATGGGAACCACCATGGAAGGGTCAAGGACTGGAGCAGAAACCTAGCCTATCCCACCCTAGACTTCATGTGAAGATGTAGCTCCTTCTTTCCTTCTGTTTGCGTACTTTTAAGCTCTCCCCTTCTCCATTGATAAGCAGTCAGGGGGCACGTGGGCAGACTCTTGAGAACTACAAGTCCAGGGGCTTTGTGTGTGTGGAGGGGTCCCAGGGACTTTAGGTTCCTCTGCCACCAGATTCCTGAGGGTCTTCTCCCCAGCCACTCTGTGTTCAGATGGTCCATCTGACAGGCAACAACTCCAGGCTTGGGCTCAGTGACAGATCCGCTCTGTCATCTCCCTCTGCAGAGACAGAAGGTAGGCAGGGGTCAGTCAGAGCTCAACCTACCAGGCAGTCCCTTCCCAAACCACGGGGCCTGGCTGTTCTTCTGCCTGACTCTGGCCCCTTCCCGCACCCCCGCACCCCAACTCCAGGCTGTAGATCTGAGTCTATAAACTGAAACTAGAATGAATTCTGTATTAAAGTACAGAATCCACTGTTCAATGAATTGCCTTCCCCTAATTTATCCACGTGGGGATTGGATTTTCTGAAAGTAGGTAGCCTTTGGATCTGAAAACTCTGAGGCTAGCCCTGGGATGGGAGGGCAGCAGGGGCCTAGCCTCACCAGCGGCTCCAGCTCCCGCTGGTCCACCAGGCTGAACTCACGGATGAAGTAGTAGAAGTGTTTGTAGCAGGTGTTGACATGTGCTTCAGCCCCCATGCTGAGGATGCTGTCGAAGTGGTGGATGTAGACATGGACGAAGACCCGGAAGAGGCGAGTCAGGATCTTGGTGCAGACCTGCTGGAAGTTCTTGGGGAAGGGAACTCCTAGCGGGCGGTGATGGGCAGAAGTGGGGGGATCAGCAGTCTGGGGATGAACCGCTGCCCAACCCTGCCCTCTCCGCCACAGGCAGCCTTCACCCAGGATGGCCACTTCCTTGCAGGGGACGGAGAGACCAGGGCCCGCTTTTTCCCCACTTCCCCTTTAAACAAAGCACAGATCTCACTGTGCCTCTCCCCTGCTGAACTACGAATCATCTCCCACGTTGCCCCATCACCCAGAGCCGGACTCTGCAACCATGCTGGGGCCACTGACCAACCCTTCTTCGACTATGATGGAAGTTATGCCCAGATTCCCCACAGAAATACGTGCGTGTGTGCAGGTACTGCCCGTGATATTTTGGATATAATTCCAAGGTGAGTTTATCAACATCTCTGGTCCATTTTTAAAAACACGGGTCTTCGGGATTAAGTTCTAACTTCGCAGCATGGTGCCTGCTCAAAGCCTTTCATGATCTGACCCCAACCTCCTTCGCCAGCCCCACCCCATCTCCTTCCTCTTCATAACATTCACACAGGAGGCCCCAGATCCTGCATCCTGAGAATTACAAAATCCTCAAGAACTAGTTCAGATAACTCTCATCGCTTCAACTATTCAATAACACAAAGAACCTTCCATCTTTGAGCTGGGCCCTGTGCTGGGTCCTCTGCACTTTTTGCCCCCTTGGATATGGGTACGGTAGCCCTTCTAGACCTGATAAAGTCGAGGTGCATGATGGCGACCCCACTCGCCCAAGGCGATACTAGCAATTAGTACAGACTGGAGGCAGGATTCAAACCTGTGGGCACTGCCCTGCAGCGACCTTCAGAGACAAACCCCACATCCCCTGCCCGAGAGAGGCTCCAGCACCTGTAAAAAAGGTGTAATTTCGGCACAGTCCCCCGTGCTCAGGGCAGAGATCTTGGTGACTACACCTTCTTCTCCTCTGTGGCAGAGCCATCCCCAGGGTTAAGGCACAGACACTGGGGTGTCCCAGGCCTGGGGGTTAAGGCTAGAAGGGAATAAGCCCAGACATGGGCCCATACTGGTCTACCCTGCTCCATCCGGGTCCTCATGGCTCTCAGGTGGGGTGGAGCCCTGCCTCCTTGTGAGCCCTTGCAGGCCCAGCCCAGGTTCCTTAGACTTGTCCTGCCCATCTAGACTCGGGGGCCTGGACCCCAAGAGACCCGAGGTGCAGTTCTGAATCCCCGATTCAGTGCACTGTCCCTCTCTGTTGGCTTCAGTTCCTCCTATGTGAAATGCAGATGCCCACTGCTGGACATGATAATGCAGGAAATGACAGGCCCCCAGATGGGGAGGGGCTGTGAGCCCTGAATTGTGACTCAGTGCCCAGCCTTCCTCAGTATTCAGACTTCTCCCCTCTGGGCTTGCCCACCCTGCCCCACCCATCTCTGATTCCCATAGCCTTAACGTGGAGAACAGGAGGCCAGGTGGGGGTGGTGATGCTGTGATGAATACATTGTCATGCCTGCTTGGCTCCTGCGCCAACACCTGCTCTTGCTGCCCTTGGGTGGGGAAGCAGGGCCAATGTGACTTCACTCATCTCCTCTCGCCACCCTCACCAGGCTGCCCAGCTGAGATAAAAAAAAGGCCCCAGTCTTGGGCCTGACAAGGGAGAATTCTGCCCTTAGACCCCTCTGAGGTACAGATACAATCTGGCCCTCCCAATCCCCACCCCCTTCCCTTTCCTGAAGGGAAAAGTCAGAAGTAACAGGCGGCTGCGAGTCAGTCAGCCCAGGCAGGGTGACGGGCTAGGAGCACCTAGAGGCATTCTCTTCAAGAAGGTTCCAGGAATCACAGTGGTCTTGCCAGGGTGGCTCCTGGACGGACATTTAAGCTTCAGATAGGAAGAGTCCCAAGCTGAGAGTCAGGCAGTCCTAGCTCAAGATGCCTGATCTTGAGCAGACACTTAAACTTTCTGAGCCTCAGTTTCCTCTTCTACAAAATGGGGATGAAAATCATGTCCTGCCACCCCCCCCAACCCCAACCCCTTACAGAACTGCTATGTCAAACTAAACGCCTCATCTACAGAATGGGCTCTGGAGGCTCCCTCCCTCCCCAGCTGGGTGTGACTCGCCTGCCGGGAGGCACTCACCAACACGAGTGGGAAAGACATCCTCGTCATTGATGAGGCCCTCAATCCAGTCCATGAGCAAAGCCATGTAGCGCGGCGCCGAGAGCTTGGCGGGCCGCCGGTACCGGCGCTCATCCTGCCAGCGGTACTCATAGCGGGGCCCGCCCGCCATGACCGGGCAGCTGGTTTCGCTGCAGCGCTCGGCCATGGTGCCGTAGATGAGGTTGATGCGATTGAAGAAGTCCACGACGTGCACGGCAATCCAGTCGTCGATGTTCTCCCCCGGCGGCAGCCTCACCACGCTGCGCAGGTCCAGGCCGGACTTGAGCGATGCTTGCGCCTTCTTATACAGCTCGAAGCGCTGTGTGCCTGGCTCGAAGCGCTTCCGAGGCCGGAACGTCTTGTCCTTGGCGAACACCTGCTTCAGGCACAGCGCCATGGCCGGGCTGGGTGGAGGGCCAGGTGTCCAGGGGCAGGACCTGTGGATGCCCTGCCAGGACCAAGGGCATGGAGGGAGCGTGGTGGTCAGGTCCTCACCAAAAGGCTTTGACCTCCCAACACATCATTTCTCTCACACCCTCAGCTTTTGGCCAGCCTCTGCAGCCTTCCTCTGGAGTCTAAATCCCCCGCATCCCCTAGGGCCAGGACCCCTGCCCGGTCTCCAGGCTACCCTCGCTCCCCCGGCCAAGCGGCCTCAGCCCTCCTATCTCATTTTGTTTCCTCTCCCCTCTCACCGCATCTCACAGAGCTCTGGGCCTGGGCTCCAAACAGGTGCTCATCTGACTTCTTGTTGACCATTAGAGAGGTGGCGGAGGCTTCCTGCAGGCTCGCCAGGAGGCAGGAGCCTGGATGAAATGACCTCGGGGGCGCCCCGTGGGCCAGCCGGTGCAGCGTGGGAGAGCCTGGCTGCATTGTGCTGGGGGTCAGGGTAGGGGCAAGGCCCCGCCTTCAGCTTCCTCTGGGATATCCCGTAGTCCATCCGGCCACCGGGGATTCCCAGGGAGCAGGAGGGACTTTTCTACCAAAAATGTACTTTCCTTTTATTACCCTGGAAGAGGACAGGGCCCTCATATGGCCAGCTGGGTGGCCTCTGAGTGTGGCTGCAGGCGCTGGAGGAAAGGGGGATGTGGCGGGTCCGGATGGGGGCCACTTCCTCTGAGAGTGGCTAGAGATCCTTCCCCCACCGAGCCAGCCTCCTCCTGCCCCAAAGCAGAACAAGCCACTGGCCTCTCCCCCTGCACCTGACATACATGTTCTGCGAGTACCTACTACACGCCTGGCACCGGGAGGTAGGAGAATGCAGTCACATCTACCCAGCTGGGCCTTTCTAGAATTCAGACAAATTTGCTTTGCCTCTCAAATGGAGGGATCCCAGACTCAGAACAGACTTTGGGACAGCAGAGCCCCAGGCTTGGGGGCAGGAGTCCTGGATTCTAGTTTCAGCTCCACCATGGCTGGTGACTGCCAGAGCAAGCACGAGTCTGACCCACACAATGTCCTGGGCCACACAGGTATAGGCCAGGTGTCTGAGACTCACGTGGTAGTCATTTCACCTCCCCTGGGGGTGTGTGAGTCCTTGGGAAACGTGCACCCAGGTACCTGCTGAGACCAGAATTTAGCCACAGACGGAGGGCTAAGGCTGAGCATAGGCTAAGCACTGAGCTGTGGCTCCCGGCTGACCTCTGACCTGGCCCCGACCCCGGTCAATCTGAGTCCTGACTCTAGCCCTAGACTCAGGCTGAATACAGCCACAAACAAAGCCTCGCCTTAACCTCAGAGCTGACACAGAAGCACTTAACCTTCTCACGTCTCTCATAATGCTGGGGCAGGATGGGGGAAGGAACGAGGCGACAGATGGAGGGAGATGTCATGTCAGACAACAGGTCAGGCTAGTGGAGAAGTTCGGAACAAGGATTCTTCCTTGTACGCACAACAGGCAGGCCAGGATGGGGATGGTCAAGTCAATGACAGGTGTTTGGGGAGTAGGTGCAGGTCTCCCAGCAGGATCTTGTCCTCTTGAAAAAATCCCTCAAAGATGTGGAAAGTCATCTCATCCATTCCTTGATCCTCGACTTCTACCCAGAGAAGTGTGGATCCTGGGTTTCCTGATCCCAGAGGAGGAGATTTCCACACTTCACATGCCACCTGTATTCCACGCTCTGCTTGGGGCAGGTGCTTCCAAAATCATTCCTACTGCAATTAGGTGGGGTTCCTGGTTCTCCTCCTTTCCACAGTCCCCTTTACTCATAGTTACCACCATTTATCACCTCACCCTATCTTCCCTGCCCACTTCCGTCTGCCACCCGCCCCCAACCTTGGCGCTGCTGCGTGATCCCTGAATCTATCCCCACCCTGCTGCCTCTGTGTGTTTTCTCGCACCAGTCTCTGTCTGACTATACATGGTCAGGTGGAAAGCTATCTCCTCCCACAGCCCCCTCTACTGAACCCAGATGTCTTTCTCCTGGGTGGGGGGAAGGCTGCTCTTTGGCCACTGTTGTTTCCCCCCAAGTTCCCCCCCCCCCCCCGCCTAGGGCAGGGCCTGGCACATAGTTGATGCTCAGGCTTTAAGTAAAGCTTAGAGTTTCAAGAGCCCTGAGAAATCAACTGACCAACCCACTTCTTGCACAGATGGGGAAACTGAGGCCCTCTTTCTGAGGAGCCGCCATTCACACAGCAAGTTACTGACAGGGGATCTCCAACGGCAGAACTGGGAACTGGGATAAGGTGGGGCTCAGCCCATCACAATGAGTAAAGGGCCATTTTCTCGTGCTGGCTGGTCACTGTTCTGGCGGAGGTAAGGGGAAAAGAGGGAAGTGGAGACAGAGGGGAAGCATGTTCCCACCAGTCAGACTAACCTAATTCCTGTTCCCCCAACATGCTGGACCTCCCCCATTCCCCCACAGCACCGTGAGGGTCCTGACCAGTGAGCTAGACTCCCACAATCTGGGTATTTCAAGACCTGGGTCTTTTCCCAGGAAAATGTCAGCTTCAGGAAGGGCAGGGGAGAATCTATACAAGCCACCTGTCACTTGTCTCTTCCCTTTCCACTCCCATGCCCTTATTGGGTTTCCTTGCCTCACAGAACCTCTGTCCCCTCCCTGAACTCTGGCCATTTCTGCCTCTGAGCCCCCGTTTCCTAACTCCGGGTGTCCTTTTACTCCTAAAGTGCCCAGTGATGGCTCACTCCCTGGGTGGGCATCTGGGCTTCCCAAATGAAGACCACAGAGTGGCCCTGCCTGCTTCTGACATGTAGCCCCCTGCCAGGGCCACACCTGCCACTCCCCAGGCCTGGCCCAGGATCTTGGCAGGGGGCTGGCCCCAGTTTGAAACCAGAACGCTGCCTCTGCCTGGGCGAAGTGTGTGCGTCTGTGTGTGTGCGCGCGCGCGGGCGCCCTGAAGGCAGAGATCCAAGAGAAAAGTAGAGGCGGGACTCTGCCCAGCGGCGCTCGGTTCCCCGTGTCCACCCCTAGGCCGCCCCCGGACCCCCTAACCCCACTCGCCCAGCTGCCGGGACAGACCGGTCGTAGGACCCAGAGGCGCAGGCCTGACGTTTCCGCTCCCGAAGACACGCCCCCCTCCAACACCACCACCCCCGAACCCCGACTTTCGCAGCTCGGAGCCTCGGACCCCGGACGGAGCGCTGCGGCCAGCCTGCCTTGCGGCGGAGGTCGCCTCCGGACGGAGCCACGCCGGGACAGCCGCAGAAATGAAAGTGGCAGCGAGGCTGGGCCGTGCGCCGGCGGGGGCGCGGGGGCTCACTCACGGGGACCGCCTCGGTCCTCCTCTGGCCGCAGGGTCACATCCCCGGCGCGCCGGGTCGCCTCCTCCTCCGGTCCTCCGGCTGGGCCGGTTCTCTCAGTTGTCCGCCGCCCGGCCGGGCCGCGGTCGCCCTCCGCCCCCGCGGCGTCGCCAGCTCCGCCCCCGCCCTCCCGGGCCCCGCCGCGCCGCGGCCTCCGGGCGGGGAAGGGGCGGGGAAAGGGGACCCCCTCCCAGTGCACAGACGCACTCCGCCTTTCCGGAAAGTCCGAAGCGTGCTCCCAGCTTCCCTCTGGGCAAAGGACTGACTGAGCAGCTGGCCCTGGCAGCAAAGTCCTTGGGCTTTGCCACCGAGGCAGCCTCAGCTTCCTCGACTGTAAAATGGGGACAGACCCAGCCTCTGTGTGGAGCAGAAACAAAGGGGCTGCTAGGTAATGGTGGTTTCCTTGCCCTCCTAGAATCATCTGTGTCCCAGTTGTCCCTGAGCTCAATCAGGGATGGGGGCAGCCCTCTCCACTCTCGTACCCTAAGTTCCTGGCAAAGTCCCTGGCACTTAATGCCCGTTTTCTGGGTAAATGAATGCTTTGGGAAACACAAGCTGAGTCCCTCACCCAGCACTGAAAGGACTGGCCCTGAGGAATGCTCAGGTGACAGACTTTCACCTCCCCGACCGACCAAGGCTGGGGTCTTTGCTCAGGCTGGGCAGATTCTCCTCACCCAAAGTCACCCCATTTCCCCCCACAAGACCTTTGTTCCAGCTCTGCCCAGTTTGGAATATCTTCTTTACCTCCTTTCTTCCAGCCAAATCCAAACCTTTAAGACCTGATGTGCTCTCTCTACTTTTCAGTTTAGGTTCCTCCGCTGAGGGCAGACAGATACCCCATACCAGTACTCAAGGCACTATGGCCCCCAGGCCCAGAGATTAGTTGGCTGACTCTGTTCTGGGATGGGAGGGAAGGTTGGAGACCTTCTAGGATGGGAGGACCAAGGCCGAGAGATGGGCTACAGAAGTCACTCTGGAGGGGTGCAGGTGAGCAGGTGGGGGGGTAGGCATTTACTACTGCACTGATGCCCCACTGGGCTCTCCTTGTGTCTGGATCTTCTGTTTGCTTGATGGCAGAAGAACAGACTGAATCCTTAAGAATCCCAGCTCATAGAACTGAAGATTCATTCTTTCGTTAAGCACCTATTTTTGCCCCAGTCTAAAGTCTAAAGTTCTGTTTTTTTCTTGATGTCTGAGTCTTCACTCTGTCCCAAATCCCCTACAAGTGAACAATCGCATGCTCTCATGTATGCAGAAGGAATTCTAATTTAGTCCTTCATTTGTTTGATATCCTAATCAATACCTTTTCTGTGCCCTGAGAGTAGACCAGGTGATGAAGCTGACCCTGTTGCTGACCTCAGGTGCTGACAAGTTAGCAGTAGGGACAACCCAGAGAGGGATAAATAAGGTCAGAGCTCAGTCATCCAGAAGTGAGAACACAGTTAGGGACTGCTGGCGAGCACTTTGTAAGCATGGGGTTATCCACAGGAAGCACATGGAACACTCAAATTGGGCCCTTTGAGGAGAGTTTAAGGAAAGCACTATTTAGAGGTGTAGTCGGGGTGCAGGGAAACCACAGGGGTGGCATATCACTGAAGGGCTAGCAAGAGCAGCCCTTTGCTATCTGCCCTAGGCCGAAG